ACCATCCCTGGAGGTGTTCAAGAAACGTGCAGATGTGGTGCTTAGGGACATGGTTTAGTGAGTTAGGTGGTGTTGGGTTGGACTTGATGATCCTAGAGGTCTTTTCCAACCTTAATGATTCTATGATTCTAAATGAAATAAACTGCTCAAATCAAGCATAGGACTTAAGTCCAACCAACAAAACCAGAATAATAAATGAAACCAAATAATAAAATTCTTAGCAGAGTTTTCCAAAGTGCCTGAGAAATGCTGTAACTTCCAGTTGACAGATTTTGGTATAAAATAATATATCAAGCAAAGGCTCGATGAAATAGGTCAAATTCAGCCTGACAGTCTTAATGACACATGTACTACTGTCACCAACAGTCTTTCATGGTAAAGCAAAGAAAGGCATGAATATTGTTGAAAACAGATGAATAAGATGCTCTTTTTTTTCACTCACATGCAATGCTTTTGGTCATTTCTACAAAGAGAGCAACAAATTCAAGCCTGAGATAAACTGTGAAGGAACAGGTTTTCTGGCTATTAATAGTTTCCTTCTGCGGACTACAGCAAGGAAAAAAGTGTTGCCTATTTTCAGATACTGAAAGTATAGAAATTTGGGGGAGCTTAGGACTAAGGCTAAGATGATTGTATTTATAGCAAAAGCATCATCTGTCCCCAGCTCTTCTGACCTCTTGGTGTTGGTTTTAGTTTGTTGCTCTCGGGATGGGTAAATAAGTGAAGAATTGCCCAATCTGGCAAACATGAAGATCAGTGTCTAAAATACATAGAGAGATTGAACCCCATATCAAGGATAGGCACGCTGGCTATAAATTCCTGAATGAATAACCCAACTCAGAATCTAGCTTTTGAGTTTACAAACATTGCAGGGCTCCAATATCATCTGCTTGACTAGTTCACTCTCAGAACTCAGGGCTAACTGGCAACTCATACCCCTACAGAGGTATAAACACCCACAGGTGTTCTGCAGCCACCTGAACAAAGCATTAAGAGCTAAGAGTAGCTATTCCACATTTTCACGTGTGGCAGTCCTAAGAGAACAAGCAGCTTTCACACAACATAAACACAGTATTACTTCACCAGCTTAAATAATTTATTGAAAAGAATAGCAGTATTTATAGATCTAAATACTCAGTCCATCTACTGTTTGAAGAAAGGCACTCTGTAAGTTTCTCAAGACATCAGGAAACTGCTTTCTTGAAATGCGAAATGATACTGTCTTGCAACTGCATGTCAGCTTTCCTTGGGAGTGGTAGCTATAGTTATATGCTGACCTGCATTTGAAAATCAGATTGTTCAGTAACTATCTGGTAACTTCATCTGAAACCACAGTAACCAGACAGGATTGTATAGCTCACATTCCCTATCTGTCATTATTTTCTGATAACATGTTCAATAACTCATATTACCAGTGCATGACAATTGGAAGGGACACGAGGGAGCAATCTGTGAAATAGCCCAGTTTCCATTAGTTATATATCAGCACAGTTATTGCAGCTTATGAATTCTATATACAACTGTATACTGTGCTTCCCTCCACACACAAAGGTTTATCTTTGTGAAATTAAACTATAATGAATTCTACCAGAATCTGGAATTCATGCTCTTTCTTTGGTTGTGTCTCCTTACTTTTGGGCTGGTTTTAATTGATTATTTTAGTGAAACTGAACTGGATAGGACTGTTGTCACATCCAAATTGTGGAAACTCTCATTTCCATATCCAGCATGTTTGATTATAAGATTTCTTCTGCTTGAAGCTGAGGCAATACAGACACTTCATGAAATAACTAATTTGAAAAACACCAAAATAAATAAATAATGAAAGTCTCCCAGACTACATGTTGGTACTTGAGTTGAGTAACAGCCATTAGCTAATCTGATAATGATTCTCTGCTACTGTTTATGTTCACAAGCAAAAATACTTACATTTGCTGAAAGCTGAGATGTAAGGGTAGCAACTTTCTCTTGTGATGCAACCAGCTCTCTCCGTAGTTTCTGAATTTGCTAGGAAAAAAAAAGACTGCTGTCAGTATTTCAGCAATTTCTTTTTGTTGTGTTTTTTTTTTTTTGTTTTGTTTTGTTTTCTTAAGGGATCCCTAACAGGTTTACCATGTCTTAGTATCACATTTTAATTTCAGGCCTATTCAGAAATATGAGTTATTAGAAGTTGTCACTGAAGCACTCCAACTGCTTTTTTTGCACTAAACCAGTGTACCAGTTAGGATTCTAGTTAAGGGAGCACATAGGGGCAAATGCTTAATTCCTTCATATGTACAATCCTCTGTTTGCACATGTAAATGTCATGTTTTTGTACCAAGTTCCAAAACATATCCTAAGTGAAATCAAGGATAGCAGCCCTGGATGAGCGCTGACATTATGAAACATGAAAGAATTTGAGTGAGGTTCACTTTGCTTGACTATACACGATGCAGCCAACATATGTTAAATGTCTACATTAGACTTGGATGAAGTGCCAAAAAGTACTCCCCCACTGCCTGGCATGAACTCAACTAAAAACTGCCTTTGATGACTACCTCAGAGACAGATTTTTTGCTTCGTGGATATCTAAAGTTAGAGGTACAGTAGTAATTTTTTCTCTAACACAATACTTCCTACAGTCCCAGAGATTCAAACATGCAGCCCCATTAAACCTTACGTAGCTTTCAAAAACTTGCTGTCCAACTTAAAAAAATTGAGCTTTAAATGTGACTGTTATAATGAAAACATGCTTAATTCAAGGCTTCTGTATCCTTTAATAAAAAACCCAGAATCCTCGAGAAAAATATCTGTTTACATTTCAACTAGGATAGATATCAAGCATTAACCTTGTGCATAATTTTAGGCTCATTTAACCCTATTTGAGATCTTACAGGGACTCGAGGCATTGTACTGAACTTAAGAACAGCATGGAGTTTTACTTTGAAACCCCTTTCATACTCAGACATAAAAGAAATTATTCCAGACTAGGGAAGCAAAATGTCCAAAACTAGCCTAGGAAAGGGAGCACGTAACATTCACTAGTAAAGACTATTGCGGTACTTTAATTTTATGACTCCCATGAAAACCAAAAGGGAATATTCCACAAGCTTTAAGAATGAACAAGTTCCTGTAAGTCTATGATACAAAAATAGCTAATTCATTTACACTAGCTCCAAGCAAAGAAGATATTACTGAGCTCTTCCCCATTCTGGACTGCCACTTTCCTTTTTCCAAGTTTTCTCTTTGGTTTTCAATAGCAATTATTTGACCTTCCTGCTTAAGCTACACTTACATCATATTGCTGCAACTATACAAAGGTAGTTCTCCAGAAGTGCTTTTTCAACATCTGCAAGAGCACCACAGGGCAGACCTAGATACTGAGAAAGCATCAAGCAGAAAGAAATTTTGTTTGACTTCTATGTACAGCCCTATACAAAGGGCAATGAAACAAGGAATTGTCATTTACACTATTGAGCTACGGCATGCTTCTTCAGCTCCTTTGCTCCATGTTTCAGAGAAAGGAGCTTAGAAAATTCAGGTAGAAATTATATTGAAATATGCTGTGGCAAGTAAGGAAGAGTGTTTATTTGTTCCTCAAAACATCTTTGAGTTGACTTTTTCTCTGATTAGAACAGTAAAAATCGGAGCAGCAGAAACACAGGACTTGGAAGGCATGTGGCTCTGTGAAGTGAGAGTGCACCCCTTGGTGCTGCATTTTATTGCTGCTACTCCTCTATGCCCTTTTAATACAACCAGGGCTTCATTTTGAGAAAGGCTGTAATTGTATCCAGCTGCTGACCTGGGCTTGTCACCCATTCTTATACACTGTGAGAAGAAAGAAGTTGTTTTCCATGTCAGATTTGATTTATATCTGAAATCAATCTGTGTTGCTCTGAAATCCATCAAAGTCACCAGCTTCAGAAACTTAATATAATGCAAAATGTAAGGGAGAGAAGTTCAAAGCGAACATTCGAAGTATTTTTCTCCTGAAAGGTAGCACATTACCTAGAATTGCACAGTCACTTAGATCCAGTACAGATTGGTATTCAGTCTGAAATCAGACTTATCACAGCTCCTCCACTCAGAAGCCCGATTCTCATTGACTCTTTTCACCTTTTCAGAACCTCAGCCAGGAGACATTCTTCAGCATGATGAAGAAAACACCTTCTAGTGCACCAGAAGCTGCATCAGCTCTTTACCAACACTTCCCAAAAAGTGTTTCAAAGGCACAGGGTGTCTCTTACCCAGTAATTCAGCAGTTTAGCCTTAGCAGATAAACAATATACTTTAAAATATTATACTACAGTACAAAACTATAGAAACAAAGAAAAATTTTTACCTCTGAATGTGCCTTTTCTTCTGCCTGGAAGAAAATGAAGAAGAAATGGCTTAGAAACAGCATGCAACATAATTGCAGTAATAGAAAATAAAAGCCAGCTACATTGAAGTGAAATGAATAGTTTCACGGATCCATTACATTTAAGGAAGGTATGCAGCAAAAACAATAAATGGAATTCTTTTCAACTTCCTTGGCAAGGCTCCAGCTGAAACCCCAAAGAGTTTGCCAGCATACTGATAACATAAAACAGTGGATAAAAGGAGAACAGGAACAGAACTGCAGAAACTGCAGCTATATTTCTAAGATACAAAAGAAAATTTGTTATTCTGTCACTGCACAGACCTTAGTCTGTTACCAGCAAACTTTTACACTGTAACGATTATTATGACTCCTGGAACTCTATCGCTTTACTGTATACTGAGCAATATTCCTAACAGACTAATCCCTGCTAAGAGAAATTGTCAGTAAAACATATATGGGAGAAGATGAGGGGAGAGTGGTACCAGCACTTTAAAGGAATTTCTGCCATACAGAGTACTGACCAAAATATTTAAGGCTATCAAGGCATGTTAAAGTTTCATCTTAAACTTGCTAACATTTAATAATTTTAAATGTGTTCCATATTGCTACGTGTTGTACCACATAATGATGCTATTTACTCAGCAGTCTTTTGCAACAAGCTAAAAATCTAAATAATTGCAAAGCAAACCTTTGAAGGGCGTCAAATTTGTAAGCATGGAAGTAGTCTCATTTAGGAGGCATTTGGTGGGCAGAAAAATCTTGCTTCAGTGGGATTCTAATGGAAAGGAATGGCATGCCATGGGAGAGGAACCCTTTTGTAATATAAAAAAAGAGTCAGTTAATGTACTGGAAATGAATCCACTACATCATCTGAGGTGGCCCAACTTCTCAGCACCAGTCTGACATAGGCTGGAGGAGAACTAAGCAGTAAAAAGAAAATGTGGGTAGAAGAATTAGCTAGAAATATGACTAGAAAGGCTAAGAAAACCCAAGATATGAGTTCCTCAGAAAATTCCCAGACATCAGGAGGTATCTGTTATTATGAATTAATATAGCTGCTTTTTAAAGCCTGTGTTAAGCACAACTTTTGTGCTGTTAGAATTTTAATAACTCATTATAGAAATGTTTCCTCAATTTACCTGGTGGGGGAGAAGGCTTTTAGAAAATGTCTCTTTCCATAAATATTTATCTGTTAACAGTCACTAAAAAGACTGAGATTCTGTGATACATCCCTGTATAACACCTAGAATTGCTCTTGGCTGAAAGTATTGTAATACCAGGTACATCACTACACAGGAATAATTTAGAATAATGATTGCTTTATTTACCAGCACTGATGTGACACACATATTGATACTAACTTTCTGAATTATGTTCACCAGAAGGAGATCTGCTGACAGAAAAAATTAAAAATCTATTCTCATTATCGTTACCTCAAACATGTAGTGCCTGAAAAGTCATCATAAGAGCAAGAAAGAACATGTTCCCTTATGAATTCCACTGTGCTAAGAAAACAAACAAAAAAACCAAACCAAAAACCACAGAGTTGAGAACCTTTTACTGGAACTGTCATATGGGGACATGGTCCCTCATCCCTAGACCACCAGCTCCTGCTGATGAAGGAAGTGCTACATGTTGTTTACACATGACTCCCTCACTGTCCAAGGAAGCATTGACTCTCTCCCTGAATTGACAGAGGTGGCTCACACAAGCCAACTTTTGTGGGCAGTAGAAAAAGTATATGAAAGAGAAAGAACAGGATTCTAGACACATTATCAACTTAAAAAATAAAACTGGACAACCAAATACATCTGAGCAGTTTTTAGTTGAGTTCATGCCGACACCATTGTAGCCAGCACTCGGTCATTGGTTCAAAAGGCTCTGAAAGGAAATATTTTTTTTTTTTCTCCCTCTACATGCATCCCATCCTCTTAATGTTTTTTTTTTTTCTTTTTTTGAGGACTCAAAATATTAACATACAAATGACATGTCCTTATACATCTCGTTTGAGCTTGGCTTAGCAGTTAACGAAGTCAAGGGATTCTAACTGTAGCTAATGCTGAGAGCCAGTGTGAGAAATATAGCAATTAACTAAATATGTGCAAATTGCAATTTCTCACCTACTGAGCAGGAGGAGATTAAAATTGGAGACAACCTATCATAATTCACACTATCACACAGCTTTTTCAAATCCCTGGAGAGTTAGATATACTCAGTGCTAAAACTGAATCAGTATTTCAATCCTTTCAATCCACTTACGTGGCATACTTTTCTGTGAAACCAAATGTTTGTCTCTCTGCAAGCACACCTCTACAACTAGATTTCCAGCATATTCAAGTAAGTCCTAAAAACCCAAATGCAAATCAAGAAGAAAGCCAATACATACAGAAAAGACTAGTGAATGCTGAACTTCTACGTCATTGGACTTATTCATTGCAATGGCAGCAAATCATGAAATGTCTCTTCTGAATCTCATATTCTAAAATTCTCAAAGAAACAATCTTCAGAAAATAACTTCAAGCTTTTCAGCTATCCTTTGGTAATAATACACAAAGATCTTGATCTTTAGTATTTTGTCTGAATCTCCCCAGTGATCAGGCTGCAGAAAAACACTAGCACCAAGGCTTAAGGCAGTGCTTGAGAAGTCTGATAAATACATTTGATTGGGATACTTATGGAAAGGCAGCTGCTTTGGAGTTCCTGCTTAGTGATTTTGGCCTGCTTAAGTAAGGTAAAAAAGCTCTTGTACTTCTCCTTGACTTCAGTAATAGCTGAAAGTGAGCTATACATACCATAACCCCATGAAACTATCGCTTTCTGGAGGAAATGGGGCAATGCACCATATCATCAAACAATGAAACACTGTTCTTTATTTTCAGCTGATGTGATACAGATTGCCAGTTTTTCATGTTTCTACACTCCACTTGTGCAACATTTTCTGATTAATTACTGAAAAGTTTAAACTTTTTTTTCACCAGAAGAGAGATCAAGCAGAAGAAATTCTGATCAAAAATCATCCCTAAAGGTCAACTCTAGTAATTCTGTCATACTAATTCTTTTCTTCTCCTTTACATGTTTTTCTATAACTGCCATTATCTTGTCTACATAATCCATAACTTAAGCAGTGGGGCTTAGCTGCAATGTGAATTCACAATCAGAGATTTCAGAAGATAGTACACTGGTTTACAGTATGAACTTGGGGGCAAATAGTTTAAAGTCTGTTTTGCAGGAAAAATACTGTTCTCTAATATCAAGGGGTATGGGTAAAATTTCCAAGATAGTCTGTAATCTTGAATGATAGCAGGTTATATAAATAGAAAGTATTAGTAAACCCTTGCTACCATACACAACATCAGAGCAGAGATATTTCAGAATTACTGACTGATTTGATACTGAAAGCATCCTGTGTTGCTTTGCAATTTGATTTTTACCATCTATCCATTTCATAACATTCGTCTAAAATTTTATATCAAAGCTCGAATTATAACTTTGGACACCCTTCCATGCAAAGTTATCACAGTCTCTCATAGAGAGGGAAATAGTAGTAAAGATTTTTCTACTACCAAAACATAAGTGAGAAGCTTAGCTTTGAATGTTAGTCAGACATTACGTGTAGCCAGTCTGTATGTACATTCTACCTCCCCAAAATAATCTCCAACTGGTCTGGAGTGGAAATGCTTGCAATTTGCTGCTAAGGCCTGGACAAACCTAATGCATGTGTACCTGACGTTTTAGGCATGCCCCTGTATAGACTATTTTATGATTGAACAGAACTAGGAGGGGCACCATTGTGGTAGATGCTGTGCATGAATGGAACCTGCTTTCCAAGCTAACATGACTTCAGAATTGAGATAGGGCTACCAGCTGTACAAGTGGTACAAATGCATCAGACTGCCTCCGCTTGGTATTCCCAGGCAAGAACTGGTGTTGGCTCTGGGTGGAGGAGTCTGTGTCATCCCCAGGATATCAGCTAACACTATTCAACACCTGAAAATATGGACTATTCATGAGTGCAGGGTATGAAAACAGGTGCGTTGCTCTGCCATGAAAAAGGGCTACTACAGCATGTAATTGTAGTTAGCAAATTGGTGGTAAAGAAACTGTTGTGGATCAGCAAGGGAATGTCCAAACATATTTAACTCCTCCCATATGGATGATTTCTTGTTAGTAGAACAACTGAAACAACAGATCATGCAGAAGATCTCAAAAAGATACCAAAACAGTAAAACAGAGAAAAAAAATCAAACCCAGAACTTCTCCTTGAGCTAGAATACAATTGTTACTCAGTCTAATCAATCTAATTAGGATTAATCATTTTTTAAAGACACTATTCTCTTTGGAAATAACATCTAAATGCTGTCATTTGCAACAAAGATCAGTAGACATTTAAACTGCAAATTGTATCTCCCTTACCCTGAAGCAATCTTTTGTTTTCTAAGAGTGTACCTCAAACAGTGACATGACAAAACCACTTTGTAAATTGTGCAATTAGAGAAGTAACTGAAAATAAGCAAAACTATTCAAAATTATTAACTACAATAGCATAAGGACCCCTCTTAAAGAAAGACTCCCATACCGTTACCTTATTTTTAACTTTCAAAATATACACTAGGTGATTTTAAGTAGTTCTAAGCAAATCAAATAAAATGATGAAAATAATGTATTCTAAAATACGGCAGTAGTACCAAAGTTGAAAAGAAATGTTCCTGTTTTATTGCAGTCCATTTTTAATCATTCTATACCTCAAAGCATTGAAAGTTTCAAGAACAACGAATAAGAACAGAGGCAGGCAAAACTTTTTTTTTTTAAATTGTCAATACTTACCGTAGAGTAGAGAGAGGATGTGCTGGAGACAAGTGATAATGAGGAGCCATGTACTTTAAAAAAAGGAAAATAACACAAAATATTGATGAAAGCAAAAAACTTCTCCCACATAGCTCAATAACTAAACATCTTTTTAAAATGAGAACCATTCTTCCACAAAGAGCAATTATGAGCTATCAGTATAGAAAAGCTATTGATATTTATCCTGCACTTGAAAAGATTGTTCTATAAAAAAACAAAAAAAGCCCTTTGCTGGATATAAGGTGGGAGACTGAGGCAGTGAGATTCAGTAATATTATCAGCAAACTAAACACCACTTTTGTTGTTTTGACAACAAATGATAAATACACTCTTTAGAGAAACCAGAAATTGAGCTCTTTATACACCTGTCCAAAGCTGAGCAAACTGATTTTAATAAGAAACTATGCTTTGCAAAAGCGCTCACATTCCCTGAGGTGAGCTCTCAGGCTTTGCTCAGCTGGTTTCTCCCCTCAGCACAACACAGACCCGTGCATGCTGGCACTTGTAGTCCCCGTGAAGGTGTTACTGTGAGACGGAGTGCCACATTTCCACTAATCAGCAGTAGAGTCAGCCTCAAGAGCACTGAGTGAATGCTGCATGACTTCAACTCAAAAATGGGGTTCCTGGCCCCTCTGAAAATGTCAAGTAAAGAATAAAATGAAACAAAACTGACCTTCTGCTTCCAACGACTCTACTGAGGAAGGACACACCAACAGAGAATTTTAATTTTCATTTTTGTTTCAATAGAAATTTGTTTAATATTTGTAATCTGTCATGGTTTGGTAAATAAATTATTTTGCATTAATATTGGCATCTGTATTCCAAATTGACAACACAAGAATACTTAGATTAGCCAAATTGACTTTAGATCTAGTTTTGTAACTGGGAAAATATTTACAAAGATGTGGTACATTGACCACTGAAATCCTATTCCTTTCAATTTATCTCTGGTTTTCAGTCTCTGCTTTAAATCTCTCAGGTGAACCCTCATCCTGCTCTTGTACACTGTGGCTCTACTCATTACCTCCCTTTTTTAGTTATAACTTTCCTCAGAGCTCCTCTCTTAAATAAAATACATTTGTCCTTCCACCAGCATCATTTCATGTTAATCTCTAATGACTGTAAACTGCTGAAGACTGTTTATGATTGCTGCATTGACTTTCATTTACTCAAGTTGATCATGGTTATCCACTCCAGCTGGATATGAAACATGACCAATGAAACAGCTTTCTTCATAGCCACTGGTGACCCATTACTGAAATTCCAGATTTAACACCTCTTTTTCTATGCATAAATTATTTGCCTTGTTTTCTCCACTATTCTTCCAATGTTTCCTTTGATAATTCTCCTGTTCCCCAGCAAAGGGTTTGTAGTCACCTCTGTCCTTGAATTATCTGATATGCTTCTGTGCAGTCAGCCATCCTCTCTGTGCTGACAACTCACAGCTTGATCTGTCCTGCACCCTACTGCTAGTATTACAGACCCAGATGTCTGCCTGACATATCATCTAAAATGTGGAAGAAGGAAATTAAAAGTAGAAGTATTAACTGTCCATTATTTAATATAGGACTTCCCCCCAGCCGCCCTGCCCCCCCCTCCCCTCTTTTAATCTCATAACTATGAGCTTTGGGGTTAGGGGAAGACTTTTGTATTTGCTTGTTATAAAGGCCATTCATATTGTCATCACTTAGCAGTAAGCAAGATTGATGAGACGATATTATAAAATTAATATCCATTCAACTTTAGTGGGGTGTTTTTGGTTGGGTGTGGGTGGTGGTGGCTTTTTTTTTGGGGGGGGGGCTAATTAAAAGGTGTGATAACTTTGTGCTTATGAGAATTCTGCAAATAATCAATTTAACAGAACTGTTAGGCAGAAGAAAATGTTACGATGTGTTTAATTAGGATTAAAAAAAGAACAAAACCAAACCCAACACAAAAAATATTCCCCAAATTCTGGTGTTGTACATAGCATTAAAGAAACCAGACCAATAGTAACAATCTGCATAAAGAAAGTAGTGAGGTCAGATTAAATGACAGAGTTTAAATACAGAAATTCATATAATGTTTGGTGTAGCTGACTATAGGAAAGTGGGGAAATGAAATGACAGCAAAAGAAAGGGGATGTTAACTAGCACTGCCATTTAGAAAAAAAAAAAAGGAATTCTGAAGTAGGACTAAGAAAGCATGGAATCACAGTAGTCAAGGTATGCTCAGATACTTCAAATTTAGAGGCAAAAAGAATAAAATAAATTTCCAATAGTGGTTTCCTTTCTTCCAAAATTTCTGATACAGAATTTATACATGTATGACATACATAGCATTGCATATTACTGTGTGAAAGAAATATCTTCCAGACTTTAGGGTAAGAAAGTCCTGTGAGTCTAGCCCAACAGAATTTAAAAAAAAGCTTCACAAAATTATTTAAGTTTTTATCTTGAAGAAGAAATATTTTAAAATTTTACTGTGCTTTGAAGGCCTATTTTGGGGACCTATTTCAGGGCCTGTTCACTGATCCAAAGAGTAACAGTCTTACCTTCTTCCATGCTGTCCCTGAATGAACCTGAATGACTAATCGCTCGTGGTCTCTCTTCTAAGGATGTAGCACTGCCACACAGTTGGGAGTCATCATACAGATCAAAAGAAGTGTCTTGTGCAGGGATGCTGTTTGAGCGCATCATACTGGGTCCAGGAAGGTTAAACTGAGACAGGTTGGTTGGACTCACTGGAATACAAAGCTTTATTAATGAAGCACATTTCCATTACATTAATTTTGGTTCTGCACGAAATTGTAATGTAGGACTAGCATGGTTAGGTGGACTTTATGCTGTTAACAACTTCATTCCTACATACAAAGCCACCACAAAATGGTGAACCAGATTATTTCTGAGGACCTGGATGAGACTAGCCCTGTAAAACACACGGTAGTGCTAACACTGGTGTTTGAATACACACTTGTTCACTTTGACAGCCCAAGACAGAAAATCAATGGAAGAGATTCAAAAATTAAAAAGGAATATGAAGTTGTAAGTATTTTTTATAATCATCTCTTCTAATAAATCAGTATCTGTATTTTATTGTTATATACCTGTATTACTGACTGCTGTTAAGACCAAAATTTATTGGCATATGTAAAGCATATTTATCCTTTGATTTTCTACAGCATCTACCACTATATTAGGTTAAAATTCCTGCACAGGCCAGTTGAATCTCATCATAATAAATAGAAGCAGTTCAATCACTCATTGTTGAAATCCAGAACATCATTGGTTAACTTATTTTTAAGCTTTTGCAAAGTTTGTTTGCCAGTAGGAAGGAAAGTGCGGTTATGGTTCACGCAGACCACATGAACTCAGTGCCTAGAAGAAAAAGTTAACTGTCTATCCAGATTCAGCCTCAGTGTTTGGACTTTTATTTTAGATCATGCAAGATGTGCCCTAAGTCATAAACTACCAGAGCAGCTGTGTTGTGAGAGACAATTATCCCATAGGGCTATGATAATGGAAAGAAGAAAAGGACAATGATAAAATAAATTTTAAAATTCCTCAATCTTACTGATCTCTGTTGTGAGTATGAGAACTATAAGCAAAAAGAAAGAGAAGATATTTGTAACCAGAAAATGATAGAGTGAGAGAAACACTGCTTAAAAAGAGCTGTGTCTAAAACTACTGCAAGTACATGGAGGAAATCCAAAGCAGTGGCTTGCTTAGCCAGGATCCAATTTCATTTTTAAAAGTGGCTTTGTTCAACTTCTTTTCACATATGTAATAAAGACTGACATTTGTATGTCTGATCAAATTTCTTTTCAGTGATTTTAACCTACAGATGCCATAAGCTGTGACAGAGTGACAGAATTGTGAATGCTTCAAAGGTTGCTGTAAATTTCACAATAAGGGTCTAAAAAGATCACTGTCAACCTAGGTATGTGTCCGGAGCACTGCAAATAAATGGTTTTCTATTAAGCATTAAAGAAAAAATAAAATTATTAACAAAACTAAATTTGTATTGGATTAACTTGAAACAAGATCCAGAAGAATCAAATCTAAATCTTGACCTGTAATCAAAGAAATCTGAAATGTGACTCACATCCTAAAATATTATATTCAGGGATAGGATTTGAATTGGGCTCAATGCAGTTATAGCCAGGTCCAGCCCCTAAAACGCATTGGACAGGCCTATCTCAAAGTAAACATGTATACAGGAAAAAAAAAAAACAGTGTTTAGTGTCTGGGTTGACATTCACTAAAATCACTGGAAAGAATCCTACTGACTGTGAATCCTAAAAGATGAGTAGATTTGAACTAGAAGCTAATTTCCAACTCTGACTCAGATTTTCTTCTCCCTGGGCAAGTCATAGAGAGTGTGTGCTTTTTTTCTGTACGCAAAATAGGAGGTACCCTGGCCTAATCCATGCAAAACACCATGAGTTTCCCTTCATTAGTGAGGTACCACAATATGGTGATGGAGATGTTAAAATAAATTATCTAGTTTGTCAAATTAAGAAATATGAATGGCTGAATTTTATGATTCTGTTCTAGAGTGGGAGAAACAGTGAAGGGAAATGGCATTTACCCAGGTTGGAAAAGTGATATTTTCCAGTCGCAGATGAAGACATAGCTGAAGGAGAAACAAGTGGGGACTGACTGCCAGTGTCTTGCAGGCCTCCAGTTGAATGGGAGCGTAGCCATTCCTTGCCTTCCTCCTGACTCGTCTGCCGGGATGATGGAGTATATCTGAAAAAGCACAGCTGACATGCTCAAAACAATGACAAGGTGATGGTTTGGAAGGAAATAGGTGTCACATAAATACCCTTCACCAGTTAGACAGAACAAAACCCTTGGAAAGTATCAAGTCTAGTCAAGTGATTATCATCAGGGATTTTAACAAGGTAAGATTTACCATCTTAGTACAACAGAAAAAGTACAGGACTTGAAACCCCTTTCCTCTTCATCCCCCTCCCCAAAACAGCATTCCCTTCCTTTGAAGAGATATGATGACAAACCATAGAAGACAGACAACTGAGCTGAGAGGAAAGGACTTCAAAGCTGTAGGAAGTGAACAGGTTGATGCAAAAGCTTGGAAGCTGTATGGCTAGGATGGGGAATGGACAGACTAGAAGCAAAGAAATGTGAGTAGCTGCTTACAAAATGACATCTGCCACAGATCTTGTGGGCAACTGGTTAGATGACAGGAGTGAAACAGATCAACAGTTCTGAAAAAGGAGTTTGCATCACTAACGACAGCTACTCATGGTCACACTTGCAATCTGTCGCTCTGAATGCTACGTGGCATTATGTCCTGCCCCAAACTAGGGGGAGGGAAAGGGACAGGAAAAATCTGCAATTAACAGAAACAAGTTCTCTGGAAGGAAGAAGTCTGGCAATCAAACGATTCATCAACTGCTTCCTACAGCAAACCAATGAAACAAATGCAACTTGATTCATGGGCTAAGAGGGAGGACTGATAACTCACCGGCCCTGCCTCTTTTGGCTGGGCTGTAAGAAGGGCAATTCTGGCAGTGGTTAAACATTAAAATGTGCAGGCAATGTGGGCCTCAACCAAGAGATTGTTTTCAGCAAAGTCTGGAAGAGCCTGTTTCATTCAGCACAATCTCCTGCTGAGAAATGAGCACCTTCTTCACCACTGTCATGAACCATCAGTGTTCCCCAAACAGCAGAGCAGAAAGGGCTTTTGATACTCTGGCTTCAGGCTTGCAAGGCACAACTATTTCTGCTTAGAAAGCAGATTAAATGAACATGTAAATTCTCATGTTGTGCTTGGGGTTTTGTACAGTATTTTATGGCACAAAAACATCTTGTCCTGATTAAATATTTACTTCCTTTCTACTTTCAAAAAGACAGCTGTGATCTTTGCTTATAAATGTGGCAGAGCAGTTACCCAGTGGCTATCAGACCAGAAAGATGCCAAAACAAGAATTCAGGACCTGGGTCTTGGACTGGGATCTCTGCACATTAAATCAAACTGATGCTCCTTCTGGGATAACTGGTCAGGATTATATGCCTATAAACTGTATTCCCACTCCATTTCACTTTCAGCTTTCAGCTACCATTACAATTGTACAGCCACAACTCTCAATCATCCCATTGTACCCTTGCAGGGTTCCCTTTATGCCTCTTTCATGTCCTCCACCTTTTCCATTCTCTCCCAATCCAAAGTGATTGTTTTGGGATAATGGGAAATTTGATTAAATTCTTTTTAAGGAACGGATAGTGTAGAAGAGCAGAAGGTGCTCTCTAGTGACAACACTTTAGCACTATCTTAAAATTTAATAAAATATAATCTATCAATAATGCAAGAGATTTAACTGCATTAATTCAGTGACTGGAAGGCTGCAGAGTGTCTGTGTGCATGCACATACCCTTGCCTGCCAAATCTGCTTCCTGGATTAGGGAGATAGGCTACCATGCCTGATGAGACCAGACAAGTTACCTAACGATCCCTCTTTTAACCATGAAGTGCAGAAGAAGGTAGATGACTTCTGTTTTCTGTGATGAAGACATCTCTAATTAATGGAGAATTAATAGCAAAACAGGACTCCGAGTACTGCTGGATACGGATCAAGAAGACTAGCTGGAGCAGGGATCCTTTTATACTTACAAACCTTGGGTATTAAAATTAGTATTTTCTAGCCTTGCCCTTTACTAGATCTTCAATTCAAATTGCATGAGTGTTTGCATTTAGAGATCAAGTTCAGATCCACATCTAAAACCTTGTTTTTCTCAATAATGTTTTCAACAATTAGCCCCATTGAATTGCAAAAGTATCATGTTCTGTCTCTTTTAGCTCTCTGGGATTCAATGCATTTTAAGATTCATTGCAAAAGGAAACTATCCTTAACAGCATTCAATTTCCATGATATATCTTGACAGGAAATGTATTTACTAGGCAGACTTGGCAAGAAAAAAATCCACTGTTAAAATCTACATTTTTTTGGTTTGAATCTAAGTATCATGAACTCTGTTGTAAACAGGATCAACAAAAGGAGAAAGAAAGACAGTGTAGAAAAAGTTAGAGAAAAACAGAGAAGTAGCAGTCATGCTCAAAAAAATATATATACCTTAATCCCTTTTTGGGTAGTGTATTTCTGTCAAGCTGCACGCTGTTAAAACAAAAAAAATCCCTAAGGACATACAGTAAACAGGACTGTTCAGAATTACAAATTTTAAAGGTCTCGATATGTGTGCAAAACAGAAGGTAATTTAATGCTTTTTAATATATCTTTCATTATAAATCCCTGACTCATTGGAGAAGACGATAAGACATGGACTGCTGCACATTCATTTTTCATCTAGACGTGCTCAGGGCTGGGTCAATAGCAATTTGGAGACTCTCCAAGTCAGAAAGAAGTCCTTCCTTACCATTTCTAACCTTCCTACGGCTTCACCCTGCAATCTGTGTGAGAATCATATGGTCACAGTAAGAACCTTTATTTTTCACAGTTGCCATGATGTGCCAACAGATTTCCAAAAGAAATGAAGGTTGCGACACCTGCTAAGAGACAGCATGGCCTTGCCAGAAGCCAAATGACAGCTCTGCATGTAGAAATTCATGCTAAATATATAGACTGCTGGCCTTCTGTTGCTGTGGGGCTCACAAAGGAGGTGATGGTGAGGACAATGAAAAGTGGCACCAGAGCCACATTGTTCCATACTCACGCACATGCAGTGGCAGAGTGGGTGATCACTGCAGATCTATGGCTGCAGTTTTCCTAATTTAAACTCCATCACCAGAAGGGCACCCACTAGCCCTCCTTTAAATGTGTCATTTGGGCATTTCCTCATAAACACCTGGTAGATCATTCCCTGACTAGTCTGGGTTGAATTTGAACTAGTTATCTTCAACTTAAGTGTTGCAAAGTTTTTTTCCCTTAAGAACAGAATTTAGTGTAGCCATATGGATTAAATCGTGAAATGGTTTTAGAAATTTTCTGTATTACATATCATAATCACACCTCTGAGAACAACAGTAACTTAGGACCCTTCCTACCCAGGAAAACTCTCATGATGTTACTAAAGGTTGTTTTCTGTTGTGCCAGGGGTGCTGGGCACCCCACTGTCATGTAACCTTGATCCAAGTATGTAAAGGCAGTGAAAATACTGTTGGCGTTAACAATCCATTACCATTAGGGCTGAATCTAATGCAAGTAAAGCCCTCTTACCACCAGGAACTTTTATAGGCAATTTTAGTGCTTTAATCAGGGCCTTGGGGAGAAAGTAAGTGGAATAACAAACTTATCAGGATTTCAGGCCCAGCTATCATGGTTCATGTGAGAATAGTCCTCTATGAGACTGAGAACTAAATTTTCAGCATTTTGCTCCCAACATAACTAACAGAACCAGGAATGGTGGGTAAAACAAGAGCATACATTTGAATGCATGATTTGTATATCTTTTAGTTCCTTACAGAGAAGAATGGGTCTTCTATGTACCTTTATGCACCTCTAAATTTCAAATCAAATAAACATGTTCATAATAGCAAAAACAGTTTCTTCTGCAAATACTTCAAATATCATCATGAACAATACTTTTTCTAACATTACTTTAACTTGAAGTTCTATGCATTTCAAAATAAGCACATTATCTAAAAATAAAGGAGCCAGTCAATGCTCCTTTAAAGCAATCCACAAGCCAAAAGTTGAAAGTTGGTCAGATGAGTAGGCTAACAGTGACCATAGGATTTTGCTAAAAAGCTTTTGAATTCAGATACGCGAATGAAATAGGGGTGAATATTCTTCAACATGAGCATGGAGTTATTGCAACTGCATAAGAGTGAATACGGCAAACATTTATTTTGTGTTTTCAAAATAGTAAATCTTGCAAAGATGCCCCTAGATTTCAGATAATTGCATGAAAACATTAACCATGGCTATATGCAACTATTAACCCAGACCCATAATTGCCCACATCTTTTTAGCATCTGAAAGCATTCCTCCACCAAGAAGCTGGGTGTGTTACTTCTTCAGAAACTGGAATTCTGGCAAACAGAACTGAACTGCAACGTGCAGCAGTGACCCCATGATGACACTAGCAGCCTGACGTCTGTGCTCAAAAGATATCTAAAGATGACTGGAAAAAAATTAGTCCTTTCCTGAAAGAAGCAATGCATTCATGGAAAACTGTCTCTTTAGCTCAAAATAAACACCAATACAAAGTGAGGCTGAGAATATTGTAATATGATGTTTTCCTTTGCCATGTCAATTGCCAAAAGCAGTCTTGCAGAAAGATGCATGCAGACGTAGGCTGAAGTTATCAAGCCCACTGTATCTCTATTCCCTTTTGTTTATTTTGAGCTGCTGAAACCATTTGCAAGTTCTCTGGGGCAAATTACAGGAAGCCTTACAGTTCTCAGGTTCCTACCTGCTCTTGTTGTTGAGGCTAACTCGGGAAAGGGCAATAATGCCATGTCTTTGGGCTATATCTAACTGTTGCAGAGCTGTTAGGGTATAAAAAAAATTACTGGAAGCTAAGACGCACCTAGGGAGGTCTAGAGCAGGCTGGGCCAAGCTGATATGTGTCTTATAAATGTTTTTACAAATGGCTTGAGCACACAAGAAAATCTGATACATGATGCACAGTTTCACACCTTAAAACCACAACTGTTGACTGTGATGATAATTTAAACCAATTGAAAGTCTTGAAGTGGATTTCAGTGCACTTTCATGGCCCTCAAAACTAAACATTCTTTTAAAGCAAACCAAAGCAAGCCAATCATGTAATTAGAAACCACTTCCACTCTGCCAGTCTTAAAATGCAGCCATTTTTGTTGATGAGACCACTTATTTCTATATTTTTGCATTTTTTATGCATCCCTTGCTGCATCACTCGGACCAAGCAGAAGAAAGACACAAATTTGCAGTGCCCAACAGCAGTTAAGGGTTCAAAAGAAGTATTGGTGATGTGTCCAGTGTGAAAAATTTATCAATGAAAGCAGTGATATTTCAACAATTAACCCCAGCAGACAGTTTTATTTTAGAGTGTAAGTACGTGCATGATTGATTTGAATCTCTCTAAATTGTTGTAAGCTAAAAAAACAAGTGTCCTCCCACATAGGGAGTTACACTGCTACAATAACAGGAGACTTGTCTAAATAAATAGTGCTAGTGCAAAACCACCAGAAGTCCTGAGGGAGATACAAAATTTGCTGAAAAAGCAAGTATTTTGCTTGTATTTACTGAATGCATTTTCTGGTTACTACAATGCAGAAGAATCTAATGGAATGAAATAAAATTTGGCTGGACTAAACTTTGACACTGTATCAGTATAGCAGTTGACAGGGAGCTCTGTTTATGCCCTACCATAGCTTGGTGGGCTTGCTTCAGATGCTTGCCTGAAGACTGGGTGTAGGCAATGCCTGATCGCCCCTGGAGGGACTGAGACACACCGGGTATGCATGGGCACATGTGGCAGAGACCTTGCAGACCTGATGTCTCCAATGGCAGGTAACCACCTTTTTGGAGGCAGCCAAGGTTTACTCTCCTTAGTAGGAACCATAGATGTGACCTCAGATTTTGGTGTCATTTTCTGTGCCCTTTCCAGTTGCATCAAATCTTTCTTAAAACTGGATGTACCAAAGTCTTTAAGGTAAAGCCTTAACATGAAAAAGTAGAATGGAATAATTACTTTCTATGACTTACACGTGATACTTTCATTTTCAAAATACTGGGAGAATGCTTTCCCCTTCAACGGTACTACAACCCCTCAGACACTGTGTCCTTTCTCCAAAACAGCCTCATCATTTTCCATTTTATGTTTGCACAAATATATCCTGCCCTGTTATATCCCTTCAGGCTAATAAACCATTGATCACTAGTCTTTGATAACTCTTTTCCAAGCAGTCAAGCACCTTACTTTATTTCCCTCATTTGCTTATGAGAATGTTATTTGAAATAGCACCTAAAGCTTTACTAAGGTCAGGATTTCTTATTGTATCTACTAATAACTTTCTTCTATTCACAAAGCCTGTGTTCCTGCAAATGAATTAAATTAGTCTTATTTGAAAGGCTGTTAATGACTAATCCCATGTTATCTGTTACTTAACCCATTTTATTTAATACCCTTTGTATCTTTCCATGAACCGAGGAAAGGTGGCCTTGCCCCTAACCCCCTCGTCCTCCATCCCAGCCCTCCTCCTCACTCCTTCCTTAGCAAAGACCCTTTGAAACCTCTTCTTCAGTCCTAATGACTGCAGGGCTATTTCAGACTGCATCTGACGCAGGGAAGTGAAAAGTTCATCAGGACTAGTAAATTATAGTAATATTTAACCTTTTCATTCCTCTTAGCATGCCGTTAGTGATGCTAAGCCATCAAATTGCAGTTAATGCTTCAATGAAGCAAAACCATGTTTATTTGCATCATCTATTATCAGCTCTCTCTTCTCTTTTAGCTTTCCCTGGGCAGAATTTATGTTGCTTGTTAATTGTATCTCATTTTGTGCTTCAGTCTTTCTGATTTTTTTTCCACATTTTATTACTATAACTCACTATACAGACTGCTCATTCAGTCTTTTGCAAGCTCTAGAGTGACTGAAGAAAAATAATAAGCCTCTTTGCAGATAATTTCTTGTGCCATGCTGGGCTACAACTCGTATTGCTGGAGGCATCTCAAATATAACCTGAGTCTACAAAGGAAAAGGGACATAATCTGCTGACAAACATATCTGTTCCTATCATTGCAAACCAATGCTTTTGTTGTGAAAAAATACTTTGCTACATGTAGGTTTTACTGTATAAAACAGTTTAGAAATAACACAGCACTTATAACAGACCTTTCAGAAAAATACAAACAGCAAAAACCTATTGGGGCTTTAATTCAAGAAATGACACCATTTTTCTCTGGGTATATATATTTGTTTTGAGGCCAGATCAACATGATAAATGGCTCTCTCTGGACTAAATCATAATATCCCCATACGGACAAATCTGAAACTTAACAATATTGCCAAAGGCAAAGTATTTGGAACCACCAAAATTAAGTCACTGAACAAATACATAAAGTATTAGTAGTGGGGGTTGCTCAGAAGTTTATGCCAAACCATTAACATTTTAAAAGTGATGTTTAACATCCTCTGTATAAATATGATCTTTGGCATAAATTCATGCTCTTCCACATCATCCTATTGACCTCACCATCCATATATGTAGCACTAAAAATTAGTGAAGGTTTTTATAATCTAAATATGAATAATTAACTTAGAAATATCATCACATTCAGTTCATGGCAAACAACGCAAATTACTATTTAAAAATAAAAGGCAGAGTGCAAATTACAAATTATTCCTATATCAGTGTATTTTTAACTACTGTTGTTACAATACATTATATTGAAACACACATGTTATACAGTGTTGCAATTATATTAGTAAGAGGTGTGATTTTAGCTGATATAGTAATACTTATGAATGCAACATAAGAGAATGAAATATGTGGAGAGTTTTCATCTAGATTTGGCAGAGTTGTTTAGAGGTTTGGTTTTGTCTGGGTTTTTTTTTTAATGCTGCTTCACTGAAAGTGAAATCTTTCCACAGAAAGGATTGCTATTCAAAATTCTCTGGTTTTATATTAAAGGGAAAAAACTCCCTAACATTGTATATTATTCACATGTATAAAAAAAAATCTTTTTTCTTTCAAATAATTATGCATTTTCTAAACAATTAAGTTTAGCATATTTCTGAGTGACTCAGTATAGTTCTCTTTTTTGGATCAAAGGGTAATGAAATATTTAATATTGACTTTTCAGTCCCCATGTGAGATAAGAGTTTCATTGTCAAATCTTGAAAATTTTCACAGGAAGTGAAAATTACTTACTGCCTAGCAAAGTTTATTTTTTCTCTCCTGCAAAAGTCAAACAAATATTTCACACACACAAAAATTTAAAAAATAATAATGGTACAAGTGTGCCAGGGTGGATGCGCCACTTCATAATATAAAGTAAACGGTAAAATATCAGCAGGTTAAAAACAGCAAGCAGAGGAAAACCCTTTCTTGCTTTTGTTTGTTTGTTCCAGACACTCAGCAGGACTGTGCAGATAGTGAGGGTCTCATCTTGTGAACTGTCTCCCTGCCAGTGAAACTGCATTTTAGTAAGGATCTGTGTAATGATTACCGTGTAAGAAGCAACTTGTCAGGACCGTGCATTTTAAGGCAAGACCGGTCAGCTGCAGGCAGGGGCCCACCAGCTCTCCCTGTGCTTTCAGCTAATGGGAAGAAAACTGGTGGAGTCCCACTGCAGGAGAAGATCTGTCAGCAAGACAGCAGTGATACAGCTTTGGAGCTGCCAGTTGCTGGGACAGCAGGTAGATCCAACATGCAGGAATCATGTGGCTGTTTAGATTTGCCTTTAGTTAGACAATTTTCCCCTTTTCTCTGGCTCTCCAGAACAAGGGAACAAAAAAACTTCTTAAGATAGAAAATGTGCTTGTGAAACCTTAAAAGGCAGTTGATTCCACATCCAATGCCTGCAATTGCTTTCAGCTTTCTTTTCTTCCTTCCTTCCTTTTTTACATAAAGGACAAATCTGCTAATTAAACAGTGTCCCTTTAGGAAAACAGGTGGAGAGGGTTTGTTGCTTTTTTTTTTTTTTTTTTTGCTCCTGTCCTTTTGCCTCTCACTGGTTTCGTGGTCACTATATCTATAGGCAAGCTCACCTTTCCGAAAGAGTAGATCTGACGCTTCCAGTCCTCATGAGCAGGCTCTGAACCTCCTGAGTGCTTGTTGTCAGTCCAGAGAGAGAGCCATGATGGCTAAGAGGAAGGTCAATAGACTCGGAACTGGTGTGAAGGCTAGTCATGGACTGGTAACTGGGTGTGTCCTTACTGCCCGCTGAAGAGCTGCTCAGGTTTGCAGCCCACACAAGACCACCTGATGTGAAAGAGTGCACTGAGGCGGGACTGGAAGCCAAGGAGTGACTTAAGCTTACAACATCTGCATTTAAGTCCGAAGGTTTACTGAAGAGGGGGCTGCTGCTACCACTTTGCCCACCTGCACTGCCCATGCTGCCTGTGCCCGAGGATGGCGATTCCAGGCTGCCTTGCCGTGCCAAGGTGGTACTAGGGCTGGGCATTGCCGATGTGGGTTTCACACCTTCAGTACTGGGTGCAGAGGCAGCTTTACCACTTGCCTTGGCACCAAACAACCTAAATGTAAAACAAATAGCTTTAGAGAAACTGATAGCCACATTAAACATTCATGGCGTAACATCCTAAGAGCCAAACTACACATTTTAATTACCGCTACTAAAACATGCCTACCTAGTTGATCAATTGCATCGCAAAATTAAATTCACTTAACCATATCACAGTAATCAGGGATTGTTTCATTAGCAACAGCTCTCATTCACTCCTGTTCAGATGTGCCCTTTGCACATACAGACCCTTCCAGAGAGAGGTAAAATAAGCACATTTTTGTCTTATTAGTGCATAAGCAGATTACACTTTCACCCAAATTCAGGAATTAAGTGTTCCCACGGCTAAGTCATTAGCTTTTAAACCCTTCACTTCCCAAATCAGCTAAAATAACTTCGAAATCCTTCATAGGTTAATAAACTTCTAAGTATTTGCATAAAATTTCCCTCTCATTGTTCTTTTGTACAGATGGTCATGCGGTCATTGGTCTTATAGTAACCATTCAGACAGAACAAACTGAGCTAGATGTGCTCAGTTTGTCTCCAAGGGCACCCATGACAGAGATGTATTTCACACAATTGCTTCCAGCAATTCTATAGAAGAAATTCTACAGTGATGATGAAAAAGAACTACAAATCCTCTAAAACTGGTGAAATAAAAGGTCATGTCATGACTTAACGTCTTACTGGAAATATTTGAAGCTGCAGTTAAGGTTCAGCTCATAAATTAATAAGAAATAAATGCAAAACTTATCATGATGTAAAGTAAGCATGGCTAATAACATAAGAATCCATTTTGTGTATCACCAAGCTCACAAAAATCAGGACAGCATCACAGCAGACTGGAGATGCTCTTTTGGTAATAAGGCACAAGAGGGCACTATTGGCTTTTTCTCCAACAGTGCAAATGTTGCAGTGCAAAAATCAATCCCAATTTATACTTCATCCAGATTCATACTTGCAGAAACGTTACAATAGGGCATTTCCAATTGAAATTTAGCTTTGCTAATGTTTGTGATGAAAGATATAGAAAAGCTGCTAAGATAATGTAATGCTTGTAGCTGGAGCCACCAATAAGGTGAAAGCAAATACTTTATTTAAACTACAGAGCTCTTCAGTTCTCCGACCAGGCAATGGCATCACCTGGTCAAGTAACAGAATGTGCTGGAACTGGAACATGGCGTCCTTCTTCCCTTTGGGGGTTTATCAGAGCATTGAGATGTGATTCAATAAGAACTTAGAATCATAGAATATCACAAGTTGTAAGGGACCCATAAGGATCATCAAGTCCAAACTATTCTAGTGTCCAAACTGTTGTTATGGGAATGTACCTACAAAGCTCAAAGCTCAAGGAACAGTCATTTATGGTCTGGGGAGGTCTCTAGGCCTTAGAGAAATAATAGTGCTGTGTGAAAAAAAATTACCCTTTTCTTTTTTTTTTTATCTTGGCTCTCTGTTTGTGACAAAATATGCCCTGAAAAGGCTTTTTGCCCAGTGCTTCAACACATTGAAACCCCCTGCCATATATACTGCAACTTCAGGAATTAATGGAAAAGCACTAACCTTCGAAAGGTGGGTGAGGCGATATCTGGGTATTTGGATCCTGGCTGCCTAAGTCCTGGCGTACCAGAGGCGCTTGCTGAAGTTGGGCTGGATTTGGGGGAACTGGACAGCGAGACACTCTCAGAATCAGACACGGCCACTTTCTCTTTTTCCTTGTCCGTCTGGTTGATGGTGACGGGGCTGGACCGCCCTGACCCGATCTTACTTGGCTCTCGCAGTTTGGTGGCAGTGGCACCTGCAGATTTGCTGCTGACATTGGAGTCAATGCTGCTGGTGCTGGAGCGGTGGCCGCCCCTGCCAGGGATCCCACTGCCACTGGATTTTGATGGGCGAGGCAAACTTCGATACTGCAGAGTTGTCTTTGAGTTCACATGCAGGATGCCGTCATCCTGGTTCTGGGAACCATCTAAGCTCGTTTTCCGCCCTGCGTTTGACTTCCCACTGATGGCTGAAGATTTTGGCATTTTTCCTAGAGTTGCCGACCCACTTGTAATAGTCGCTCCACTTGTGGTGATTATGGTAGAAGATCCCATCCCGGATTTCTTGAATCCAAAGGAACCCGTAGCAGTAGATCTCCCAATGCCAGAGGGAGGCTTTTTTCCTTCATCACCGCTGCTTTTTCCTGCATCTGATGGAGAGCGCTGAATAGAGGCTCCTTTCAGAGGAGTTTTCACTTTTTCTGAAGCTTTTGCATCATCAGTTTTTCCTAAATAAAAGTATATTTGAAAAGGTCACTTGTGTTTAAGCTGTAGTGTCTCAATACCTAATTTTAACATTATACGGTTACAGATACAAAATTAAAAAATACACAGATAGAAAAACTACCCTAAGAAAACAGACCAAATTTGGTCTTTAGTTCCCCATCAGCAGTCAGTAGCAGGTACACATTATAGGTAAGCACGAAGAATTAAAAACTTGAAATTCTCCTGAGAATATGTAGCTGTAGACCATAGCAATCATCCTGAATGAACTATAAAGAATTCTATTTGTCTTTTTTTCCTGTCTATAGTATTTCTCGATGTAAGAAATAATATTTGAAAATAAAACACAACATGTAATTAACATTTCCAGAAGGATGGCATTAGTTATGCATGTAGAAATTAGCGGTACTTATTGAGTTCTTTGGTTTTCACTGATTACATATTTTAACATAACTAAGTTTGTTCCGGTTTTAGTTACACAAAATCATCAGGGAAAGATTATGCTATCATGGCATGAATCTTCTTGATCTATAACGATATCAGTTACATGAGTTAATAGTCTTTGTCATGTCCTTGATATCTTTTCAAGATATTTGTTTTTCTGAGAGCCTATCTTCAGCACTATACAGACACACATCTATGTAGCATATATTTCTATATAATGTTATTGTGACATTCAGAAAGGTTTAAATAAGATATTGTCTTCTATCTTGAAAGAAAATACCTTCTTCTTACTTTACAAACAGATTAAAAATGACACTTCTATTCTGATTTCCCTTTAAGCATCTGTTGCATGCTCATAATAAAGAACAAGTATTCAGCATAACAAAGTTTTTAATTCACTCTGAGTGACTGTGGAAGTTTTGGAGGTGGGTGGCCTAATTTCTCTTAGGGAACTAAGCTGTAATAAAGAGCAATGCCTACAAGTCAGAACTAAATCCACTCATGTTTTCATCTGGCGTACATTTTATGTTACACAAACAAATGCACACACCAAGATATGGATCAGACTCCTACAGGGTGAACACAGACTATTAGTATATGCTTCAAAAATTAAGGTCTTCATTTTGTATTGCACAGTGGCTGTCTGATCACCTTTAGCAAAACAGATCTGGGAAACTTAGCCTGGCATGTGGCAAACCTTTTAATATCTCTTTTTAAAATTGCTATTAGAGGGATGTCACTTCTGTATCCACATAACCACTGGCTATGGCAACGCTCTTCAGGAATCTTACAGACCAGAGACTGACCAAGGTTGAGCAGTTCCAAATTTCAAAGAAACAAAAGAGGTTCACAAAGGATTTGAACTTATTCTGAGGAGGTCTTAGTTGCCTTTACAACTGGGGACTAAAGCATGTTCATGCAGTATTTTGTCAGGACACGACAAAGCTCTAGAAAATGTCCTATAAAGAATCAGTATTTCCCTACTAAAAGGACAGATCAGATGGTCTTAATAATTATGTCTTCCACCAACTTTAGATTTTTTGCTTCAAGACTAGACTGCAGAAGTGGTTCCTACTTCTGAGAGGCCTTTCAAAATTAAGTAAGAAGTCATCTAGCACTGAGGAAAGTGTGTAAAAATATATTTTTTTAAACATTTTATCTCTTAAGAGTGGTCTATAGAATACCCACAATATCTGGAATGTGACAACTCAGTTTTAGTTCAGAAACACTCATTTTTGAGTCCCCTCACTTGAATGTTACATCTTTTTACCTCAACTTCTAATCTTTGGTCATTTCTATGCATATGTTCAATTATCAAAGGTACGGGTTTTCTAAAGAACAAAGATGAGGCAGAGATAAGTCCAAAAACACTTTTAAGAATTCCTTATATAACAGTTGACATACTCAAAACAAAACACAATCACATGTGGATATGGATACATTCATGTGTGATTAATAAATTATTAGTATGCAGTGAAGCAAACTAATAGTCATAGAGATAATCAAGTTACTATATTATTATGAGAACGACCACCAATATGCTTACAGTTCTTCATGCCTGTCACACACTTAAAACATCCATTAATTATTTTTAGCCCACTAAAGATTCCTTACTGCTTATCAATGAAGTCTAAGTACAAAGCCTTAATTTTCAGTGCTGTAATCTGAACTACAGAAGTTTCCTACCCGGGGTCTTGAGCGCACTTGTTCCTGCTTTGTGCCTGGACTGAGTTGTTCCTACTTGTGCAGTCATGCCTCTCCTCCAGGATCCGGTCTGTGAAACAGATAGAGATGCTTTCTGCCCCCCCTTCTCTGACTCTTCAGACAGCCCCGAGGGAAGGCCTTTCCACTTGCCACTGCCGTCTACGCTGCTGTCAAAATCTTCCTCTGGTTTCTTCAGTTCTTCAGTGCTGCCCCAAGTTTCACTGTCTGTAACTGAGCGCTTCTCTGAGTCTGTCTTCAGCTACAAGAGATTTGCATGAGAAATGGTCAGTCTCAGCATCTTCAATATTTGCTGATTTCTTAAATCACGGGAGGGGAGGAGGATAAGCACATTGATTTATTTGCAGCAAGGGCCACGGGAGCTTCCCTTCTAAAACATTAGTATCCCAGTCCCAAATGTTTAAAACCATTCCCATTTGGGGAAGACTTTTTTTTTCTTTTATTTTCAAAAG